TCAGTGCAATGCTTAGACCTCCACCATCTCCGTCTCTAATTAGTCGGTCTGGAAAGAGCAGAACCCATGACAAGAAAGTGACAAGCCTTCCCACTCCCATAAGCAAGTACGTGCTCAGGATAATAAGTCTGTGACCTGAATACCATCCACAGCAACGAACGGTCCTTAACCGACACGGATAGAGAAAACAGTGTAATCAAGCTATGCCCCGTTGGCCGCGGGACACAACCTATTACACCCATCAATACCCGTACCATATCTCTGCCCAGTCTCGAATTTTCTTTCACCATTTTATTATGAGAGCAATAATAATAATCACCTACTGTGAGTAATAGCAGGTTACTCATGCTACCAAAAAAACTTAAGCATAGCAGCTACTCGACCTAAGCTAGTAGGACTCATAGGTAGGTATATGTATGTATGTAGTTTCAACAATAAGTCTGTAACGTAAATGCACATCACATATATATTCAGTGATTATTTAAAATAAGGGTTATGCACCGGGGCTTTCCTTGGACAGGCGGGTGGTCAGCTATGTCAGACGTCGGTGGCTCCGAGGCTCCCTCCTGTACGAAGACCTCCTCCTCGTACTCCTCAATCACCTCCTCGTACTCCTGCTAGCTCGTGGTCATGAACTCTACCAACTCGTTATCTACATACATGAAATAATGATGCAACACTTAGTAAAATAAGAATACATCTGCCAAGCTACTAAGCTAACTCTAATGACTAAGACGCTAAGTTACCTATTATTCCCACTAAACAGGTATGAAACCTTTCAAACATTATCTTAGCAACTAAAGGCATCCTTATTCTTATTACCGATTTAATATATATACTAAAACAAGGAGTACTTAGCTACCATATTTCTCAACATATTCTAAGGCTACAAAAATTATAGTGAGCACATAATAATCTAATGAACCTACTTTAGTTTGGTTATCCCAACATAAACTGGTATCAAAGCAGTAATTAATTGTTGGAGGTGATATCTCTCACTTTGGCAATGGAGGACAGCAACACTCCAATTGGCATGATCAAGCTTGATGCTTCAAATTATGCTCTATGGAAGCCCATGATGGAAGACCTGCTTTATTGCAAGGATTTGTATGAGCCAATCATGAGAGATAAGATACCCACCGGAGTCACGGAAGAAAAATGGAGAGTATTGAATCGGAAGAAAGTAGGTTTGATCCGTTTGCACATCAACCATACTATTTTTCACCATGTTGCTAATGATAAAGTTGCGTTTGAGTTGTGGCAGAAATTGAAGTCTATGTATGAGCGGAAGATAGCAGTTAACAAAGCCTCGGTGATAAAGCAGCTTGCGAAGCTAGAGTACCGAGATGGCAGCAGTGTTATTGAACACTTGAATGTCTTCTAAGGCCACATAAATCAGCTGACAGCAATGAAGATAAATCTTGATGATGAGGTGCAGGCACTGTTGTTGTTGATCTCATTGTCGGACAGCTGGAAAACGCTTGTTATATCACTTAGCAACTTAGCTCCAGATGGGAAGCTGAACCCTGATATGGTGAAGAACAGCTGAAAGGTCCTAAATGGCTAGAGGAGGATAAATAGCCTATAAAATTTTTCTACAACAACACTTAAATGAAAGGTTAGTACAACAAATGGCTTTAGCAAGTTTGACACTAGCTCTACAAGGGATGCAAGCCTCCTATCCACAATACTAGCGAGTATGATCTCTAACACACACAATAGGCTATGTCACTACACTAAATTAGTGTGCTCTCAAAAACTAACAAAAGAGACACACTAATCACTACACAAGTAAAAGCTTGCCCTCAAGACTAATTACACTAAAGGGCTAAGCACAACTAGTTTGCAAGAATGTAATTGAGATAGAAAGGTATACCACCACGGGGCAAGTGAGATGATCCAATCAAGATGAATACCAAGAATTCCAATCACCAAGGGAGACAAGATGACAATTGATTTTTCTCCGAGGTTCACTTGCTTTGCTTAAGCAAGCTAGTCTCCATTGTGTTGACCAACACTTGGTGGTGCGAAGCGCTAATTGGCGTGACAAGCCAAACCCTCCAAGTGTGCACCAAGCACCTACCACAAGTGAGGTAACTCAATGACACGAGCAATGTATTAGAACTACCTTTGGCTCTTCGTCGGGGAAGGTGCAACACCCCTCACAATCAACCAGGAAATAGTCACGAACAATCACCAACTCGTGCCAAGCTCCTCCTCGCTGTCCAAGCCGTCTAGGTATCGGCAAACACCAAGAGTAACAAGAAAACTACAACGATGCAATCACAAGTGCCACTAGATGCAAATCACATAAGCACAAGCACTTGGATGCTCTCCCAAACTCACATGATGATTAGCAATCAAGAGAGTGGAGTGGGAGTGGTGTTTCTCAGCTCTAGAATGAGTGCAAGCAATACAAATGGCCAAGAGGGTGAGAAACAACCGGTCAAGGTCTATTTAAAGACCCCCTAAATTTTCCAAACCGTTATGCACTCTCGGGGGATTCGGACTCACCAACCGGACCATGGTCCATACCATGCAGCACCGGTCCGGATCCTCCCCTCAATGAATCACGTTGCACCACGTCAGCTCAAAATTTGAACTCGATCGTTGCCACGCGCAGACCCCTTGCTCGTGCGCTCGGACTGGCGATCCGGACTCCCAAACAGTGAGTAACCGGACCAAGCACCAAGCCAGTCTGGATGCCCCGATTTCTATGCAAATAGCTCCAGAACGGCACAAATGCATCCGGACGGGGTCCGGTTCACCCAACTGGCCCATTGGCTAGGGTCCGGACCCTCTACTCCTTGCCTCGCGTGCTGCCACATCGCACACAGGCTGTGAACCAGACCGAGGCCCAAAGGGTCGGATCCACCGGCGCTGCTGAGTGCGGATCGATCAGGTCCGGAGCTTAAATCGCTCTCTCTCGTCTCGGGCAAGCGCCAAGAAATAATTCTTCAAACCTAGCTCGTGCCAACCAGACCCACGGTCCGGTTCCTCTCTTCCCTTCACCGTGCACAGGGAACCTCCAACCGGACCCTACGACCTTGGTCCGAATCACCTGCACCAGCAGAGTCCGAATCCTTCGCCGCAGCACACAGAACCTAGGGTTAGGTTCTGGACCCATGCACCATGGTCCGGACCCCCTAAACCCTAGAATTCGGTTGGCGTTTTTCAGAGAAAAACATCTCCAAACTTTACCCTTGCTTCCATGTGCCAACACCAAAGTGTCTCTAACACTTGTGCACGTGTGTTAGCATTTTTCAAAGCAATTTTCAATGGCTAATAGTTAGCACACTAGGTCCTAATGCACATGCATGTATGAAGTTCACCTAGTGGCACTTGACAACCGCAATTGCAACGATTTTACTCTCTTAATAGTTTGACTATCAATCCTAAACGTGATCACACTCTCTATAGTGTCTTGATCATCAAAACAAAATCCCTATTGCTTTATACCTTTGCCTTGGGGACTTTTGTTTCCATCTTTCATCTTTTCCAAGTGTAGAGTATGATCATCATCATCACATGTCCATCCTAGCTCCACCACTTGTAGTGCACCATCATTTCATGTAACACACTTACAACATATGATTAGTGCACATAGGTTTCATCAATTAGCCAAAACCAAACTTGGGCTTTCAACAGCCTACTGAATGAGGAAGTCAGAAGAAAAGAAAAGGGCAGCCATCAGCCATCTTCTTCAGTCACAACTGGTCCCAATCAGTTGTTATCACATCAACCCAGTTGCAGCTGATCGCAGCTGATCACAACAGCACCAACAGCAGGCTCAACTAGTTGTAGCTGCCCAGTTTCAAGTGCGGTCGCAACTAGTCGCAACCAGAATCGCAGAAATAACAGGACACCATATTTAACGTGGAAAACCCCCAAATCGGGGTAAAAACTACGGGACCAAGCCAGCCAAATCTTCTTCCACTGTATGCTTATGGGATTACAGTAAGTTCATCTCTAAATAGCACTAGAGGCAACCATACATTAAGATATAGCAAATCTTGGACAGCAAGAATAAGATTTAGGGCTACTACTTAGGGAGTGGAAATACCTCACCAATGATGGTGAAACTCGGATTAGAGGCACCAAGGAAGTGGATATGATGCTTCACAACCTTAGAGCCGAATCCTTCTTGACCTATTACAAGATCTCCTATCTCTTCTCACTCTTCTCCCTCTCTTTCTTTTTCTCTTGTTTTCTTCCCTTCTCACACACAAGGAGCAGGGCCGAACTGGAGCTGCTCTTGTACTGCTTCGATGGAGTCCAGAGACTTCCTATGCTTCTCTTGTAAGTCAAGAGGCAAAAACACTAGATGCACATAAGGTTGGTTCATTTTCTTAAGCTGCACCTATAACATGTGGGCATGCTCACTAGGAGCATTTACTCTCCTCACCATCCACTCATGAGGAGGATTTTCCAACAGTATCGTGGTTGTGTTCCTTGAGCTTATATGATCAATGACACACATTATGCTACAATCAGTCAGTATTCAGGGATTTGTGCCCCTATCTGCGGGTTCCTCGTTCTTGAACGGAGCAAAAATTAAAGAAATTAGGAGGATTGAGATAAATGAGAAAGATCCTTTTTTTTTTTGAAGAATTCAATAGTACTCCATGGAGGGACCAGCTCTTAGCTGGAGTTTCCCAGGATAAATCAGCATGAATGCATGATTGGGAAAGGCAATGCCATTGCGAATCCTGCCTGTCATGTTTCTCAATCAGGACCAGCCTGTTCCTAATCCCCAGGACGATCCTGTGCCCCTCCAGTCCAATCCTCCATGTGCACAACACACTCCCATGCATAGTCCCATGGGAAGGATTAAGGAAGGAAGGAAAGACAAAATGGCCCCAATCATTCATTTCGCATACACTTCCATATCCCAATAATCCATTAGTATTACATGATATGAATTATTGGTTCATAACATGGTCAGGTGTCCACTGTAATGTAGCAACCAGCTAGTGTAGAGGAACAGGAATCCTAGCAGCTCACTCAAGTTTCCATGCGTACAGAAACAGGCAGAAATCAGAGTACTCATCAGTGTGGAGGTCCGCAGCGGCAGTGGACGGCAGCGGCTCGGGCTTGAAGATGAACAGTGCGTTCCTCATCTCGGTGCCAAAGAGCCAGTCGTGCGCGTCCCAGTACACCTGCACCTTGAGGTGGTCGAGGGAGATGCACTCGTTGCCTCTGAACTTCCACTGCAGGTGCCTGACGAGGACGTTGACGGAGCCGTCGATCTTGATGACCATGTCGACGTCGACGCCGACGCCGGCGCCGCTGAGGTTGCTGCTGCTGCACTCGATGCTGATGTCGTGCAGCTTGCCCCTGTCGTCGAACCTGGCCTTGGTGAGGAACCGCTTCTTGCTGAAGACGTGCTCCTTCTTGCACACCAGGACGGCGTCCCGCAGCGACGGCCGCGACCCGGTGCGCCGGAACGCCTCCTTCTTGAGGTTGCCGAGGAGGAGGACGACCTCGTCGTCCGACACCACGGCGACGTAGTAGTCGGACAGCGGCTCGGGCTCGTCGGAGTACCTCGCGCTCCGGAGCCGTCGACGTGGAACTGCTTGGCGCCGTACTTGCGCCAGAAGTGCCACGGCTGCATCTCCACCTTGCAGGCGGTGCTGCAGCCCTGCTTGGAGGACGCGCCACCGTCGGCGCCGTCGCCCCGCTCCCTGCTGCCGCCGCCGCCGCTCCCGCTCTTGTCCTTGCCGCCGCCCGCCGCCCCTTCGATGGACACGGACAGGCCGTGGGTAAGCAGGTTCCTGCACCACGTCACCGTCACCAGGCGGTCCTGGCCGGCGATCCCCGCGCGGTAGACCAGCGTCGCCGCGCTCTGCCCGGACCTGGTGGCCGCCGCGGACGCCGGGACGTCCGGGAGCTTCTCGCCCGCCGAGAAACACGAAGGGACCGAGAACAAGTCCTGCATCATGTCGATGCTGTGGCTGGCTTTTGGTGGTGGAACACACAATGCGATCCTAGCTATCTATCTATCTGATCGATCAAGGTATATATGCACCGGACTGGACCCTGAGAGTGAGGTCGACAGGGTGGCTGAAGGAAGAAGGCAAGCTTGCTAATTGCTATACATATAGGGATAACGATTTTCTATAAGAACACAATATAACGATCGCCAGAGCACCTTATTCTGTGTGGTCAAAATGAACACGAATGCCATAAGTGACAAAAAAATTGTAGAGAATGTCAAATGATATATAATGTTACAAGTAAAATATATGAATCACGGCCTGTACGAACTAAACTGCTGGTGGTGGGCTTCCAGCAAGCCAACCCCACATGCCACCAGAACTTTGCCTCTGCTTTGCGTCCAGCGCTGCTTGCTCAGAAGCGGCTTTCTGTCGCCGAAGCAGTTCGACCTCCTTTTCCAACGCATCCATACTCTGAAGCTTTTGTCGAAGTTCCGCAACATCGACCTGAGGCATTTTGGAAATTAAGTATGATCAGAGCAGAATAAGACAATGATGTCCAGATAAGATATTTGTTGAGCGATCCACTGGAGAAATGGGGGGCTATGTTGTGTTGGGAATAATGTACAACTTGTCATTTGTAGTGATTGGTGAAACAAAACGCCAGCATGTACCTCAAGTTTGAAACATCTGGATTGCTCAGAAGCAAGTTGGCCACGGACAGCTTGAAGTTCCTATACACGGTAAATGGAAAAGGTATTATAGAACAGTGTACAACAGTTTAACTTCCAAATCACTTGCTCAGATTGCGTTCAATATGCCAGTATGTGACAAGCACATGATGTTAACATCATTTAGCAATGAATAACCCATACAAACATTCAACACAACGAATGCTTGATCTAAACATTAGCAGAATGTAGTTTAAAAGTAGCATCAGACCTCAGTATACTTCTAAACATAGCGGGTGTAGTAATTTAAAGAGAAGGTTAATTAGAAGCTTAAATGAATGCGCATGATCAAAGAAAATAAGAAGAAAAAAAACTAGTAAAACATAAGGTAAGAGAAAGATGACTTGCCTTTGTCAGCTCTGCATTTCTGGTCTCTGCTTGAGCAATGTCTTCTTTAAGTTGCACAGTTTGCAGCTGTTCCCTGCTAAGTGTTGCTTCTAGTTCCTCTTTCTGAGCTTTAAGATCTGCTATAAGCTGTTCACTTGCTTCATCATTTCTGTTATTCTGGAATTCAGAACAGCACAGGCAAAAGAAGGATCTTGTGAGTATCCTGTAACTTGGATCATCATCATTGGTAACAGCAACCACCATCATGAACTTTGTAACAGACAAATTCTATTGTTAATACTTGTAGCACTATTAGCTGCATTGTCTTCCTTGCAGAATTTCGATTGGTACCAAATATGGACACATGTCATATACTTCTAGCCAACAAAGAAAAGTATCCTGGGCAGGAAATTACCAGGTCAGAATCGGCACTGTCCATGGCAATCTCCCGTATCTTCCCATCTTGAGAAATTTCAGCCTCAGGTTCTATGACCCTAGATGTAGTATCTGAGACAGTTTCTTCTTTTACGGTTGACTGCGAATCTGATTTCAGGCTGAGTTTAAGAGTGTAAACCTGCTCATCATAGAGAAAAGATGTTGGTAGAAGTTAATTCCATGAATGAAAATAAGATTTGAATGGCAATTACCTCGTTGCTGTATCGTCCATTGTATCCTCCAAAAGAGATGAGATAATCATAACCAATGTAATTGCTATGCACTAAAGTCATGCCCTAGAAATACCAAATTTCAAATATTAGCAGCCAAGAAAAATCATCTTAATCACTGAATGCTGCTCAAGAGATATACCTCACTGGCAAGGGGAACACGTCCTTCCACAGTGCTAACAACTGACCATGTTAGAGTTGACATGTTAAGCACAAGTGTTTCAGAAACACCTGTAGAGGCGAGTGTATTAGTTATGCTTGACATAAAAAATGCAAAGAAAAATATCATGGGCCACTGTGTGGGTATGTTGAGATTGGGTGGAATCCCAACACATCCAAACAAGGTCTCATTGGTACAAGCTCTCAGGAGGCAAAATGTACTAGTAACATGTCCACACAAATTGAACTCCACAATGACCACACAGTAGTTATCAACAAGCATGTTAACATAATAGGTTAAGACATCTTACCACTTTTATTATTGCCACCCCCAACTATGTACCAGTTCTCACCAACAGTTGCACCTGCATGGCCAGCTCTTGGGCTTGGAGTCAGACCTTGTTGTTTGGGTCTTGACCACTCCATCTGTAATTTCCAACAAAAAAAATTTAGTAGTCAAAGATAGCACAAAAAACCTTGGAGTTCCAGAAAGAAAAAAGTTTGTACCGTCTGCAAATCAAGGACATGTAGGTCATTGAAACATGTTGCATGAGACCCCCCACCAAAAATTAAAAGATAACGGTCAGCATGGCAAGCAGCAGCATGATCTGACCTTGGAGAAGGAGGAGTGCCTCTAAAACACAAAACCAACATCGCGATGAGCTAAATTCAAAATATAGTAATACAATGTTCAGCTTAAAAAAAGATCACTCTGTTTTCAGAACATGTGCATAAACTGACCTAATGCGATTATGCCACATAATGGAAGTTTAGAAACATGCTCCCTTTTACTATGACAATATGTTTAAGGCTTTTATGCTATCAATATTCGTTTCCCCTTTTGTGCTAGTATATAAAAGCTAGTTAATACTTCCATCGGTCAAGAATCGATCGAGTCAAACTGCAAAACTCCATAGCAGCAAAGTGGTGCAAACTATGTTGAAGAGAAATTACTGAGAAGTGTTAACCTAAGATTTCCTAGTCCTAGATGGTCAGAAAAGCATCTCATTAACCAAAGAAAGCTTCTTAACTCTACCATATATGTGTGACAGTTAACATGCATCCCAATTATGTTGGGGACCAGTTCAAAGTAATATTTTAAGCATACATAGCAAAGATACATGAAAGCTAACAGCGTTTTTCTTCTTCTCACTAGGTGAACAACTGTGCATTAAAGGGCCATCAAGGTTGCTGTACTTACATTGCATCCACATCATCCCATGTCATGGTTTCAAGATCAAGGATGTGCAAGTCATTCAAGAGACACCGTTTTGCATCTTCACCACCAAACAAAACTAGTGTCGTTCCAACAAGAGTCACTGTTTGACCTCCACGTGAAACCTGCAGCAGATGAAACTTATATAAGCAAATGCACTTTCCTGCATATAACTGGGTAACTAATACCAAAGCAATTGAGCAATGTTATGTGGCACAATTTCTTTATTAGTCATTTCAAAATACAGACTCTAAGATAAAATCAAGTACAGATAGAACTATAGAAGAAACCATCTGAGTAAGTGCACCAAAACAAAGATGTACATGCTCAAACATAAGATTAGCGGAACAAAAGAAATCATAACAAGAACTGGCCCTCTTAGTTCAGAGTTACAATAACCGATTGAAGAAAAATGATTACCGGTGGTTTCCCGTAAGTCTTGACAATCGACCAGGTACAAGTATGCGGATCAAATTCCTTCACTAGAGTAAAACCACCAGAAACAACAGCAGAACAAATTAATGTATGACATAATAAGTAGAAGAGGTACCAAAATAGATTAAAACTGATTTTATCAAACCTGTAATGCCTTCAGATGGATCTTTTGTATGCCCGGCAATAGATAAAAATTTGTTGCCCCATGAAATCTACAAAATGGTACAGAATAAAAAGGCAACTGCCATTAACTACTGGATTCAAGATAAATGACTATGCAACAGTTGTGCAGAAGTTTACCAAAGAATGACCAGCACATGGAGCAATTTGTGTGGTTTTAGTGGAATCAGCAGATTCTGCTTGCAATTTGGCATCAACCTTGGACCAGGTCAAACTCTTCAGATCCAAAGCCTATTTTGGTATAAATTACGAAAAAGAAAAATCATTCATTAGATCAACAATATTTCATGCTGACCTGCTTTCAGGTGACATTTGAATTGCCAGTGCATTTAAACGAATTTGTTTTCCCTCCCCTTGAAACTCCTCTTTCTCACTCCTAATATTATCTTAACAATTTTGGCTAAATAATTAAAATGCAGGAAATATCCAAAAATACATAGATTTGTTTGCAATATTCTGGGGAAATAGCAGTTATCTCTTTGCATAAGAGTCCAATAGCCCAACTTTGGCATAAGGAAACACATTGAAGACTCAAATTGTGGCAAGAAACACACTTTGACACCACACTAATATAAGGAAAAGGTCAAGGTTAAGGATCATGAACACAAATGGACGATTAACCCAGACAGTGTATGCAATAAGGCAGTCTGTTTAAAGATGGTTTGATCAAAAGCAGTAGAACAGCATATGCTTACAGAGTCACATGCTTCCAAGTCATAGCTAACACTAATAACTTAGGATGCATACATATGGTGTTAGGGATTGTTTTATTCAACTTCACGTACCTGAAGGTCACTAAGGTAACGTCCATTATGGTTTCCACCAAATATATACATCTTATTTTGCAAAACAGTTGCTCCATGCTACAGAAACCAAACTTCTCATTAGTGCTACAAAAGTAAATAGAGAAAAACGATGGAAGAGGAATGAAGTATCTGGTGCACCTCATAACGAGGCTTCGGACGGAGACCACTGACAGATAATGGAGTCCACTCATCATGAGAACTAACAGTACTAAGGCCTTCCAGAATAACATCTTTGTCCTGAGTCTCCACAGAACTTCCATTTTCAGAAATGATTTTTGGTTCTGGAATTGATGTTCCATTTGTTGAAGCCGGTACACTCTGTGGCTCGTCTTTTGGTTTCTAACAAAAAGAAACACAGATGGATAATTTGATAAACCTGCTAAGAAAAAAAACTAGAGAACTAGACATTGGGACGGTGCACTATATGATAAGACCAACAGTGTCAAGTTCTCTATGTTTTTGTCTAGAGAAAAAAGAAGGAACAATAGCGTGACTTACATGCATCTGAATATCTACAACAGGCTCAGGGTTGAACTCAGGGACCCTAGAGTACCATCCAGGATCTTCTTCCTGCCAGAATACCAATACATCTATCAAATCTATTTGCACAGCCCCAACTTGCTTGGGACTAAAAGTCTTTATTGTTATTGCACACACTGAACAATATCATGTAATTATTCATACCTCTAAGATTTTGACAAAAAGACGCATCGCCTCCGCTGAAGGCATGCTTCCAAGCCCATGCCAGCTAAAAACACAAAATGATATAATCGATAAGTATCGTTTTCAGAATACACACTTCAACGTACAGTATTTATTTTCTGGGTATTTCCCACTATCAGCCCTCCAGGCTAACTATCCATAATCTAAATTACATGAGTATCATGGTTATTGCAGCATAAGCATCTCATTTTCTATCTTCTGGCTGGGGACCAAATCACATTTCAAATTTGGGTTAATCAATAAAATAAGCCGACAGTACATGAGAATGAACTACTCAACTCGCTGCTAGCGTGTAGACGCAATTCAAGTTTTAAGAAAAACACTGAGGTTTCACTTTTTCATCATTGATAAAGAAGAACCTGCACAGAAGTTGGATTGTACTGTGACTGTGGCAACGTGAAGTTTGAGTGCAGTTTCTAGTGGTACTAACCTCGTCCATTTGCTCTGCTCCACGGGGTTCCACGCTCTTGGCTTGGGCACATTGCATGGCCCAACCGTGGCCTGGATCAAAACGAAACCCCAAAATCACCAACCGAATTGCGATCATCAACCAAAGCAAATCTCTCCCGAGGGACGAAGAAGAGCAACACAATTTAATCACAACCAACACAAATTCAGCCTATCTCACGCTGGATCCACGCAATTTCACCCCCACACCCGAATTAATCGCCAAAATGATAAAAAACAACGTCCGACGCGTCACCTGCTGATGCAGGCCGTAGAGGAGGAGGGCGACGTCGTTCTGGAAGCGAGAGATAGCTGCGGAGGAGGTGGCCCCGCCGGCTCCGAACCCAGCGTAGGCCGCGGCGGCGTAGAAGCGGTCAGGGTAGGCGAGTCCGGAGCTCGCCATGGCCGGCGCTGCGCCCTAGATCTCCGCCCGGATCTCGCCTGCGCACCGGGCAACCGGCGCGAGACGGCGGGTAGGGTTTACTCCTCCGCCGGACCGCAGCTCTTCTTCTTCTTCGCCGTCGTGCTGGAAATGGAAATCTGCAGAGTGAACTCGCGCCGAGATCTGGAGGGAGGGAGACGGCGAGCCGACGCTGGCCTCGTTCCTACGCGGGCGACGCTTTTAACGCTCCCCGCCGAGGTGGCCGTAGAATGGAAGGGAGACACGGAGGCAGATGCTGACGGGACCCGCCACGTGTCAGTGACAGGTGGGCCTGAGTCGGGCCCAGTGACGTGGTAATAGAGTCGCTCGTGTGTCTCCGGCCCGGTCGTGGTCGTTTCGTTTGGGCAGGCCGTGCGTTGTTTCCGTCCTCCTGCTCTGACTTCTCTGCTTCGTCCGATCCCCTCCTCCACCTGCCAGACTCCCCGCCGTCCACCGCTCGCCGCCCCCGGCCGCCATCCAGTCGCCGGTGCAGCCGTGCAGCACCCATCCTTTGGAATTGTGTCCAGCTGCTTTGCGAAACGAGGCGCGTATACTGGGGAGCTGGAGCGAGGACGAGGAGACGAGGGAAAGGATGCAGCAGCTGCAACCGAAGCAGATGCACTGGGTGAGGGCCGACTCCTCCGACTTCGGGGACGACCGCCCCGCCCCCCGCAGGTATCCATCCAGCTCCTCCTCGCCGCCGCCGTCTCGATCCCCCCCTGGAGTCTCACCCTACCCCTCTAACGAAGTAACAACCTCACGATTTTGCAATTTCGTGCAGCGGGCACACTGCGGTGAGCATTGGCAAGTCCAAGGTGGTCGTCTTCGGCGGATTCGCCGACAAGCGCTTCCTCGCTGACGTATCCGTCTACGACGTCGGTAATCTAATCCCTCTCCAATTCTCCGACGGTTCGCTTGTTGTGCCAAATTTGCCTGCCGACCTCTGTGGGCAATTTTGCACACGCAGCAACTCATCTTAAGGGTTATTAGATTGAGGGACGTAGATGGCATTTACATGATTGCGATTTTTATGGATGGAGCATATGCATTGGAACTTTGGAAGGAAGAAAGAGCTTGTCCTTACAAACTTCTGAATTCAACTTATGTTGCAGAGAATAAGCTGTGGTACACACCTGAGTGCACTGGTAATGGGTCGGATGGGCAGGCCGGCCCAAGCCCAAGGGCTTTTCACATAGCTGTTGTCATTGGCTGCAACATGTTCATCTTTGGTGGCCGTTCTGGGGGCAAGCGGTATGTGGTCCACATAGCTTATCTAGCAGAATTTGGAAGCTTAGCATAAATAGTTTCCTATATGTTACTAACGATGTGGTCTTTATCTTACAGCTTAGGTGATTTCTGGATGCTAGACACCAGTAAGCCTCTATGTTTCATCAAATTGTCAAGATCCCCTTCTCTGGTTCTGTGTACACTTATTCTAGGGGTTGCTGCTACATTCATGATACTGATGTACATTCAGACTTATGGCAATGGTCGGAGATGATTGGCTTTGGTGATTTGCCGTCACCACGAGAGTTTGCTGCTGCTTCAGCCATAGGAAACAGAAAGATTGTTATGTAAGCATTATTTGATATGCACACCCCTGTCGTACGTTCTGTTTTTTTTTTTTTGAGAATTGACGCTCACAACACGCATGCACACTCACCCCAATGAACACACGCACGCAAACCCTACCCCTATGAGCACCTCCGAAGGACTGAGCCGGCAGATCTCGAGATTCATGAAGTCACCACAGGCGCCTCGCTGTCGACGGGGACGTCGTCTACCACTGAAAGCATAGCGCCGTTAAATCCTGGAATAAATCTAGGAAAATGCGAGCACTCATGCCAAGTCGAGGACTTGAGCCCGAGTGGGCAGGTTCCACCACAAGGAGCCTAACCAACTGATCTATGATCAGTTTTGAAGAACATTCTATCTTTATTCAGGTATGGTGGATGGGATGGCAAAAAGTGGCTTTCAGATGTATACATCATGGACACAAGTAAGCAAACTGCTTCTTTATCCAATCACTGCATTTTTTCTTGAAGATGGCAAGGAAAACGTAGAGCGCTGATTTTTTGCATTCTCTATTGTATAGTGTCACTGGAGTGGACAGAATTAGCTGTTACTGTATCTGTGCCTCCTCCAAGATGTGGGCATTCCGCAACCATGATTGAGAAGAGACTGCTTATATTTGGAGGCAGAGGTGATTGCTATTTCTTGATTTTATTTGTGGGTTTCTCAAAGATTGTGTTTTATGATTCCTTTTGTGAAAGTAAATTTTGTTGATTGTTTTAATTTTTTTTGGAAATCTAAAAGCACTAACTAATTATTTTCATAATTGTCTTGTGGAAACCAAGTTATTTTCCTTGTGAGAATTTGTAGTGTGAATGTGTTATGACGGTTTCTACTTTCTAATGACTCTTCAGTTAATTCGTAATCTTTTGGCCATCAACACCCACATTTCCAATCACTTCAAATCTTCTTTGCCACAGGTGGAGCAGGGCCAATAATGGGTGATTTATGGGCTTTAAAGGGTATTACTGAAGAAGGTATCTCCTATTTATTCATATAAAATCTGTTTGAGTTAAAGGAAAGATGCATCCTAAGCCCCATAGTGCTATGTGCAACATATGCGTGGTCAGTTGATGATGGCACCAGTCGAACTAACAGTGCACGTTGAAATAGCCTATTTGAATGATTGTGGATCATGAATTCATGATCAGATGTGGTTTGATGCCTTTTAAAAAAAAAATATTGTAATACTTAAGACAATCCATGGTACATACCCTGCATCTTTCTTGTCCTGTTTGATTGCTCATGCCTTATTGGAAGTCATGTAGTTTAAGATGGCCCATCAGTATTATTTAACCTCTGAGGACAACTAAAATCACCCATTCTATTTGATATATGTTAATACTAGTTGAAAAGTATTATTGTCAACTTTCTTCTGATTTAACTATCTAGCTCATCGTTCATTTGTATTTTAGTTCAGTTAGTCAGAACCTAATTTTGTCTACTTTGGAAGACAATGAGACACCAGGTTGGACACAGTTGAAACTTCCAGGGCAATCTCCCTCACCACGATGCGGTCATTCAGTAACATCTGGTGGACCTTATGTATGTAATTTGATCCCGCCATACTTGCATTTCTTTTTTTGGTCTCTCAGTGCACTAGTATGAAGTATTCAGTAGCTGGTATCTCATATATCATAGTATTTGTAAACTTGGGCCCCATTAGATGTCCATACTAGATATTAACTAATTATCATTGCTATATTGTACAAACCATATGCACCATTGATGTATATTTAGAACTCATTTATGCATTTTGATCTACTATGGACCAGTAGGCACTTTGTTTGAGTCCCAACCCTCTTTCCGATGAGGCCAGGGGTCTATTTCCTGCTATGATCAATGCAATAACAGATAGGCTCCTGGGTATGCCTTCGGTGACAATGCTAAAAAATATTTGTGTTCTGCAGAGTTTCATCCTTAGTTTTAAGATCTGAGGTATCAGTATGTGCAACACATCATTTATTAACTTAGGTTGGTGATGGAAGTAAATTTTAGACACAGCTTTAGCAGAGTTTCTTTGTCATTAACTACATAAATGAAAGGGTGTAATCATTTATTTAAAAAATAATTGTCTTTATTGTGTACTGGGAGTCTTTGCAGCCTCAAACTGTTAATCAGCTAGATTATGTTGAATTTCTTCTAAAATTTTTCCATTTAAAGGTCTTGATTGCATGATCGGTTAACTGAAGATGTATAGATCTTTCTTGTCAGCTCTTGCTGTTTGGAGGACATGGAACTGGCGGTTGGCTAAGTAGATATGATGTGTACTACAATGAATGCATTATTTTAGACAGGGGTAAGATGTGATTCTAATTCCTTTTTTTATTTGCATAGGGATTTACTGAATTGGAATGTGTGTCTTTCTTGTGGGTGTAATGCTGCATCTTTTAAAAGGTTTTTTGTTTAAGTCCAACAGTTTTTATTTCTTCAGTACAAAAAATGTTTCCCTGCTATTAACATAAGATGTGGTTCCACAAGTAAACTTGTATGACTAACCTTAAGAAGGAAATTGTGATGCTGGCTGATTCTGTGCTGCTTGGGGCATGTTTGTGGTTGCTTTACACTGAGTTGTGCAATATAATTAGTTGATAGAGTCTTTAGTGAACCAGTAAGATTCTTCCAAAAGTAACTGCTATATCCTATAAATGTAATCGCTTTTAAAAAGCCTTGTCAGGCCTATGCAAACCCATTTTTCTCGTGATTAAGATAATGTAGTGTCAACTATGGATCACATACTAATGGCAATCAAGAACACTACCAAAGTTAGTATGTCTTAACTTAATGCACCTTACGTAAGTCTGATTACATCCTAACACTAACCTAGAAGACTAGAAAAGCTAGTTCTGTAGATATGGCTTAAGCAGTCATCATTGATCAAGATATAAAATAAATGTCAGATAAGTCTGTGCATTCATTGCTTGGGTTATCTTTGTAGGTAGTTGGAAGGTGTTAAATATGATTGTCAACCACATCCATTATAACCAGCGTTGGAATTAGTTGATGATGCAGCTAGTAGGTATATTATACTTGCTGCACATAATATAGCCTCAGAAGGCCAATCTTGTAACTCCAACTGATCTTACCACTGTCAACTCAATGGCGACTAACTAGGTTATTGTGGATATACTGAACACAATGCTGACAGCTAGTACCATCTCCATGATTCATTGCTTTTGTTTTAATGCTGACCTACCTTTCATGCCACTTACTCAATCAGCACATGTATCTTTGTTGGCTGATACTTCAATCCTTGACAGTGTCTGTTCAATGGAAGCGCCTACCAACAAGCAATGAACCACCTCCTCCTCGGGCATATCATTCCATGACTTCCATAGGGTCTCGATTTCTTTTATTTGGTGGCTTTGATGGAAAGAATACGTTTGGTGATTTGTGGTGGCTTGTTCCTG